CGACATTGCTCGAAGAAGGAGATGCATCTGACTTCTTCTTGCTCTTACGTTTCGTTGGAGAAGAAAATGATAAGTCAATGTCTCTTGATTTAACACCTACCTCCATTGCTTCCGTTTCCTGCAAGTTTAGTTTTTGACCCATATAAGCAATTATGTTTGAGGTTCTTGTGTCTGTTTTCCCCCAAAAGTTTTAATATATGCATTGCATGTATCATGTATGTAATTTATCAGTCAAACAGAGTTCTGCATGGAGATTTTATGACTGACCTTAGCTTTAGCATCCGCGAGCTGCACTTTTTGTTCAAGCTCTTTGATCGTTGATTCAAATTCAGCGACTGTCTTTTTCTTAGCTTCAATCTCTTCTTGTGATTGCTTTAATGCAGACTCTAGCTCTGAGTGCTTCTGGGAGTGTGCTTGTTTCTGTTTCCAAGAAGACGTTTTCAGAGCTTGGTGACATAATGGGAGAAAATGGAAAATCCCAAAGCTGTTATCTGAGATCACTAACCTGTTCATCAATGGAACTCTGAGTTGCTTGAAGCTCTTTCTGTAGCTGAAGCACTTGCTCATTGAGCACATCTCGTTCACTGGCATTATGTTCATGTTCCTGCAGTTTTGAGGTCAGTTCTGTCACTTTTACAGACGCAGCAGCTCCATTTTCAACCTGTAGAACATCGTTAATCAATACTTTATAGATCCTATAATAATAATTCTATTTTCCTCTGTTTGAGATGAGTGCAATACCTCTTCTTTCAACTGAGCTTCAACTTTTGTCAAAGTTTTTTCTAGCTCTTCAACATGTGATTCCAAAAAAGACTTTTCAGCAGCCACTGCCTTGAGATTCTCAATCTCGGACACAAGAGTACCAGCTTTAGACCTCTCTACGGTTAGTTCTTCTTCAAGCTTGGCAATAACTGATTGGAGCTCATCCTTGGTACTCTGAAACATCGCATTGACTTGGTTGTTCTCCTCGGTAAGGGAAGAAATCTGCAACACAAAGTGGTGTCATTTTCTCAAAAGTTGTAGTAAACAACAAAACTGTGGCAATGTAGATGGTAATTAGAACGCATTTAAATTCAGGGTATTTACCTGTGACTGTAATTTCTCCCCTTCAGAGGTAAGCTGCTTCGTAAGATCTTCTATGGTTGTCTTTGAAGCTTGAAGATCTTTAGTTGTTTGCTCCTTCTCAGCCTCCACAGAAGAGAGCTTTGTCTGCAACTCACTGGCCTCTGAACCATGACTAGCTAGTTCTTGGTTCAGCTTTAAATTCACCTCGGCCAGATCCCCGTTTTCTTTCTCCAGCCCGTGGCATTTGGCCCCGAGCTCTTCAATAGTAGATTCAAGATTCTTCAGTTTTGATAGAGCCTCTTCAAGCTCAACTTTTCTAGTATCCGCAACTCCTGATGCTTCAACAACCTGCCTTTTATGCTCCTCGATTTGGTTCTCATGTGTTTTTAGCTTTTCAACCAAGTCTTTATATTCTGATTCTTTGTGGTTAAACCTTTCAATTGCCTCTTCCAACTGTTTCACGGCAGTTTCCTTCTCGACAGAACCAGAACCTAGTAACCCCTCAAGCTCTTGAATTTTGTTCTTGAGCTGGTTGTTTGTCTCTGCTAGTAGTTCATTCTCTGTTGATGACTGCAGAGATTTTTCCTGTGCCTGATCAAACTCTTGTTTGAGTTTATCATTAACGGTTTCTGCAGCAGCAAGTTTTCCCAGAGTCTGATCAAGTTCTTCTTTCAAAGAAGAAGATTTGCTAGATGCTTCAACCAACTGTTCTTCAAATGATCGTACTTTGTCTTCCAAGTCTTTCAATTTCTCAGTCAAAGAACTAGCCTCTGAATCTCTGCTAGTGAAATCCTCCATTGCCTTTTGAATTTTATGCTCTGAATCTTTACTTAAAGACACATGTAAAGCTTCAAGCTCAATGCTTCTCGTCGTAGCTTCGTCTATTTCTTTTCCTTTCTGCACAAGACTCTCTTCTGCAGACTTCAGTTTCTCCATTACTTCGCTTTCCCGTAAGCCAGCAGCTTTCAGATCATTTTCAATGCTCTCCAATTTCCCTCGGGTGACATCCAATTCATTCCTGAGACTTTCTAACAGATTCTCAGACTCACTGACCTTCACGCTGTACTCATTCACTGTATCTTCTAATTTCTTTTTCTCACCCGTCACAGCGTTTAGATTTTCTGTGAGTTCTCTCTCGTTATCAGTTGCAACGTTTAAAGCAGCTTCAAAGCTTGAACTTTTCACTTGGAAAGCCTCTAGTGTGGACTGAAGCTCAGTCACCTGACCTAAGTAACCTTTGGAATCTGCTTCAGTGTCCCCACACTTCTTCTCCAGCGAGCTAACCTGCTCCTCAAGTTCCTGAATTCTGTATTTTTCCGTCTGGAGTAGAAGCTCTAAGTCTTTCAATCTTCCTTCTGCGTCTTCATGTTTTGACTGTGATGTTTGACACAGACCTTCTAGTTCAATGCTGCGCTGGTGAGTCGTATTAGCACGGTCTTCATGCTCTGCACCCTTCTGCAAAGCGATTACCAAATCTTCTTCAAGCTCTGAATTTTTGGCTGATGATAGCTTCAGAGACGCTTCCAATTCGGATACTTTTTCTTGGTAATCCTGTATCTGAGTGGTCGCCTGTTTTTTCTCTTCCTCGGCAACTTCAATAGCACTTTTTAGTTCAGATACTTTCTCAGAGAGTTCTTTCAATTCCTGTTCTGCATCACTGCTTTTCAGTTGCAATAAGTTGAGTTGCTGCTCGAGCTCCACATTCTTCTGTTCAGCTGCAACGAACTGCGTCTCCAGCTCTTTCATCTGTGATTTGGCTTCTTCTGCTGCTTGACTAGAGGACCGAGCAACTTCCTCCAGCTCAAGATTCTTCTGGGTAGCAGCTGCTGCTACAGATCCAGATTCGCTGTGAAGCTCCTCCAGCGATTTCAGTTTCTGTTCAAGTTCAGAGTTGTTAGACAAAGCTTGAGACAGAAGAGCATCTGCTTTGGTGAATTTATCATCTGAGGTCTTCAGTTTCTCTTCTAGTTCACTGCAGATCTCTTTCACTTTTGCTGCATTACTTGTGACCTCTGCTACATCTGCTACAAGGGCTTCTTTTTCTTTTAACACTTCAGCCAATTTCTCGTTTGCAGTTCTCAGTTTCTCTTCTTGGTCTTTCAATAAAGATTCCAGCAGTTCCTTTGCTTTGAGTTCTTCCTCTAGCTTTGCATTAATACCTTCCTGTTCAGAAAGTTTAGCCTGAAGATCTTTGGTCTGAACAGTCAAATCCTCGAGAACCGATAACTCTTCCTTGAACCGAGATTCGGAAGCTTTCTTCTGCTCAAGTTCCTTTGTCAATTCATCAATGAGGGCTTCTGTGGAAGACACTTTTTGTTCCGTCTCCAGCAAACGAGATTTTGAAAGTGCCAATTCCTCTTGCACTGCAGCTAATTCTCCGGCACTACTCTTTAAGGCTGCTTCAACTTTTTCGTTTTCAGAAATCTTATCATTCAGCTCCTTGATTTCTTGTTGCAGGGACGCCATTTTTTCCTCCATATCTTTGGCACTTGCTTTCGTAGATTCAAGCAACTGTGCAAATTCCAAAGCCTTCTGCGTCTCAGAGTCAGCATGAGAAGCGCTTTGCTTATGCAGCTCTTCAAATTTCTGAGCCTCTTCAGCTGAACGTTGCAGTCCCTCCTCCAACTCTACCAACTTCTTTCGTGAGTTCTCGAGTTCTATGCCCAACGCGTCAAAAGCCTCCTTAACTTCAGTTAATTCCTTATCTTTGGCATCATGCGACCGCAAAGCATCTTCTAAAGACTTCAACTGTGAGCTATGTCTCTCTTCCCCTTCAACAATTTTCTCCTGCTGCGTCTTGTGGACAACTTCGAGCTCTCCATGCTTCTTTTCTGTTTCTTCTAACTTCTCTTTCGCAGACAATAGCTCATCCTTCAAGTGTGTATTCTCAGATTCATACCGTTTCAGTTCCCCTGCTACTCTTTCCAATTCAAGCTCTAGTTCCTTCGCCTTTTCTTGTGATTCATGTAGTTCTCTTTGTGAACCACTAGAGCTTCTTTCAATTGCAACATCCTTTTGCTCTTCAACAGAAGCATGCTCTGCTTTCTCGGCATCATCCTTGACATCAAGAGGTTCCTTCTCAACTTTAATAAATTCCCCATCTTCCTCTTCTTTCTCCTCCTTTGTCACTTCTCCATTCACAGCCTACAATAGATCAAGACAATACTTACATCTTCCACAACAATAATTACATCAGACACACAGTAGACTCAACATGTTGAAACAAGTAAAGTCTTATGCAAGAATCACATCGATTTAAAGAAACTTAACACTAAATGATCATTACCTTGACGGAAACATCAACTGTTTTAAGATCATCAACATCTACAGGGACCTCGGAACTCGCTACTTGAGTTGCTTCCTCCATAATACAATCAAGCAATTCCGGTTACGTTTAGTTCTGCAGAAGATAAAAAAAAGGGTCTCGTAAGAAGATGTTCCAAAATTCTATACCTCTACATATACATCAGATTAGGACATATAAATAAATAAAGAGAAAAGATAAAAGAATAGTAGCTTGCAAGAAAGAGAAAACCAATTTCCATAATTTAGATAGCAAACAACATTTTATTTTGACAATCAACAGAAATTACATCATCTCTCATTACAACTATTTAAAATACGGGTAATTCAATAGTAGAATTCTAATTTCGTTTCCTTTTATTGTTATACAAGAAATGACATATTTTTAGATCAGAAAGCTAAAAGAATCCAAACCAATCAAGAGAAGACAAAGATCAATAGGGAAAATATGGGCCATAGCATGTGATGTTATCAGAGTTTTTTGAATCTGTTTTAAACACCCAACAGTCTCCACAATGATACAAAATGAATAAGGTATGCTTATTTATTATATTAATAAAGGCCTTACCAAACAAATTAGAGAGAACCAAACCAGCAACATCAAAG